TCCCTTGTTAATTCCGCCTTAGCTCGCATTCTTCTTCTCGCTGTGTATATATATATATATATATATATATTACTCACCGCAGTGAGAAGCGTAGCGTCCACAATAAATCCCTTTGCGGAGAATATATTTTCACGATGCATTAATTGCAAGGAAAATAACTGCAACTGCAACATAAAAAAATTGTCGAATACAGGAATTTGAACATCTCATGATATATTAATCCTCAGTACCCACAAATGTTAGCGTAACCCCTCTCCTCCGATTTTTATAATTTAGACGTTTTTTTCTGCTCTCTTTTTAATTATTGCAAAATATCTTTTGTGCTACGATATTTTAGACTTTCTAACTCAAAAATTCTTTTTTTTTTTTTTCAATCTTCAAACGATAGATAAAATAAATTAAGTAAAATTGATGCACTACAATCTGAGATACAAGCAAAAGAAAACACTGGTTTTACAAATACCTGAATGTAGATAGATAGACTTTTTGGAAATGTAGGTACTGAAGGTTAAAAATTACATTAGTATATACACGAGATATAATTAGCAAAGTACATAGAAAGTGCGAATTAAATTTATATCTGTTAAAAAATTTACTTCGTATTTTATTTCCTTATTGTTGATGCTGTTAAACATGTTGCGAACAGTAACACCGATTTCCATGGCTTGATTCTTACTGGTTTCACAAGCCCATACTAACATCATTATTTTTATAATGTAATATGTAATACCTGTAATGAAGGTTTTATAATAAACCTGACTTTCCAGATTGCCTCCTTGATTTACAGAGTCGCCTCTTTGTATTCGAATTAAGTAAAAATATAGGTAGAAAGTAACTTGAATAAAGGTCAAAATTATCGTGCAAAGGAGTTGCAAACTGAAGATCGTTGTCAGCATCTGTACTGTGTCGCTGATTATCAGATGTTGCTTTTCCAGAGCTTTAAGTTCCATCAATAGGAATGGATATTTCTGATAGATTGCTCTAAAAAAATATGGCTCATGGTACGCTACGAATCTTCGAAGATTCATTAGATTATCATTGATTTGCTTGAAACAAGCTTTTAAAACACAAACACAATTCATGTATAGCATATCCATTTGGAACACTAGCAGGATTATATATTGTACAACAACCAGGCGGAAAACGCTATCCTGCATATTGGGAAAATATATCAAGGCTTGTATGATTAAGAAGAAGAAACCAAAAATGTCTTTAGCATGGATTAATTTAGATATATTCTTATATGTTTCCGGGGACAATCTTAAAGAGAGATTCAATATTGTTTGAAGTAAACGCATTCGTGGTCCACTCAAAATGAACGTGCCAGCTACTATGAAACCGCCAAAAATGTGGAAGCAATTAAGTTGAAGTATCCTAGGCACACTTCTGAATGCAATATTTTTAGAAATATTGACATCATAGATACTTATTACTTCATCAACGCAAAAAGTGCAAAAAATGATAGTTGATAGAATGTAGTATAGTTTGCAAGACTTAATGCTTGAAGCATTGATTTTGTATGGAAATATTCCCAGAATGCGGCAAAAAGTGAAGCAAGGATACATTAACGATTCAAAATCCGTGGCGCAGAACAGTTGCCATATTTTCCCTTTTTTTTTATTTATAAATGCTTGGAACTTCAATAATAAATTGAACATGTTCGCTGAAGTATACATATATAAGAATACAATTATTTAAATTATACACTATAGCCGAAGAGATATTATGTTATCAATGCACTTTAACGATGTTTACAAGAAATTCTCTTCCAAATATAATTGTTTGTCTTTACGGAGAATGCGTAAACTGTCATAAACTTCTCACAATCTACACTGGGCGAGTTTAATTTTAAAACTACAAATAATTATTGCATCGCATAACGAAATAAGACTCCAGTAATTTGTTAGTTATGAAGTAACCATGGCATTTTGCTTATCTCTGGAACACGCATGAAGTGATGTATAATTAAATGTGTCATGCAATCCACAATCTTGCACATCTAGATAATGTATAAAGTGAATAAATGTTATCAAGTTATTTCTTGGTTCTTAATTAAATTCATACATAGATAAATACAAAATTACAATAGAAATATATAAAATTATATATAAAATTAAGAAAAGAAGAGCAAACATAAATGAATTAATAATAAATAATAAATAATAAATAATAGTTTGCTCTATATAATGTATTTGAGAAATATTTTTAATATTCTTGATAAAAAATAACATGATTTAATAAAGCAATCACATTTTATTTTATACACATAATGTTATAACATGTATATGATATCAACGTGATTGAATTTATCATTGCGTATTATATTGTAATATTATTAATATACATATAACATTAGTAAAACAAAAAATTAATATCTATTATACTGCTAAAATATATTAGTATAAATTTATAGTATTATCCATAATATTATATACTTATAACGATATTTAAGGTATGATTCATTTTATTTATTGTACAAATTGCTACATATTAAATATATAAGTCAGATTAAACTTACCAAGTAACATTTGAATTTATTAATAGATATTTTATGACGTGTTTAATAAGTCAAAAAATGATACTTCTTAGAAAACTCTACATTATATGTAATACCTAATTATATACGTAAATAAAACATATAATATTTTTCACTGATTATTAATATATACGTGACACAAGACTTATAAATGTTTCTGAATATTTGTGCGTATATACAAATACATTTACAACCATAAAACACCATTATTCACAATAACATTTTATTCATAATAATAAATATGAGTATATATAATTTCAAAAATATCTTTTATCTATGTATATGTCGATCTGGGTGGTGATGTATCTTTATTAACCAGATTATATTTGTAGATTTTCAATCACAAAAATTTGACATTTTTGAAAAACAAGAATTGAAACAAAATTAATAGGCACATAGTAATGCTACCACCATCTAAAAAAATAAAATCACGAAACATGATTAAATATTCCTATTACATTCTAAATATTCCTAAATATTTACATTTATTTATGTACAAAAGCAAATGAATAATCATTCATTCATCTCAATGAAAGCGTAGCATTCACTATAAGTACCTTTGCAGAAGATATATACAATATATTTTTACGATGCATTAATTGCATGGAAAATAATTGTAACTAGAGTTAAAAACAATTATTAAATACAGAATTGAAGTACGTAGTTTTGAATCTCTGATAATATATTAACATTTATGTTAATATACTAGGAGCATAATTACAAAAATATATGAATATTTTATTTCTTTATCATGGTACTGTTATACACGTCGTGAACAGTGGTGTTAATCTCCAAAGCTTGATTCTTACCAATTGCATCCAAAAACTATAAATATTATTTTTTAAATATATATTATAAATATATACATATAATAGATTACAGAGTTGCAACAAAAATCTTGTTAGAGACATGTTTTACTATATTACTGATTTAAATTCCCTCTTATAATCTAACATAAGTAAAAGTACATATTCAAAGTGATATTAATGAAGATTAAAATTATCGTTAAGAAAGGAGTTGTGAAGTTAAAGCTCGTTGTCAATTAAAATTAACTGCCAGTACTGAAAATCTATAATACACGTAACGTAAACTAGCATTTTCAGTACTGGCAATAAATTTGAAACACAGCCTATGTCGCTGATTGCCAGATGCTGTTATATCAGAGCCTTGAGTTGCATCAGTAGAAATGGATGTCTCTGCTTGAGACAGATATCCCTCAAAAGACATGGCTCACCATTTGTCATGAGTATTCGTAGATACGCAAGAGCGTTGTTGATTTGTTTGAACCAAGCTTTTAATGCGCAAACACAATTCACATGTACAGCATATCCATTTAAAACATGAGTAAATGGATGTATGTCGAAAAAATATAATATAAGACATTCAATTATAATTTTTATCAAATATCGACATTAGCACGACTATAAAAGAATCCAAAAATGTCCTTAGCATTAGGCTTAGATAGATTCTGATTTCTGTGGCAATCTGAAAGAGACTTCCAGTATGATCTGAAGTAAACGCGTTCGTGGTCAATTTAAAATAAATATGACGATTGTTGTAAAATCACTTAAGACACAGATGCAGTTATATTGTAGTCATATTTAGCGCAAATGCCTTTATATAAAATGTTATAAACAATATTATGATGTCATAGACAATTTTTATAAACGCAAAAAGTGCATATAACAATAGTCAATAGAATGTAATTTAGATTATAAGTCTTAATTGTTAAAACGTTACTCTCGTATGGAATTATTCACGAAATCCAGGAAAAAGTGAAGCGAGAATATTTTAATGATTCAAAATCTATGGCCCGGAATAACTCACATTTCCTTTTCATTTACTTTTTAATTGGAATATCATTAATAAATTAAACATATTCGTCGAAATATTACAAAAAAGGATTACATTTCTCTTTTTACTATAGTTACAGATTATATATATATATATATTGTTACTATGACAATGAATAAAATCATTTCTATCGCCGTCTGTCATTTGTTACATTTACTGGTTAATATAATTGCTTTATTTTTAGCAAAGATGTAATCTTTGACCATCTTTCTTCGATTTTTGTTTGAATTCCTCTTGCGAAAATGTTTGATAATATCATGGACTGTCGATTTTGAAATCTGTATTCTTCTTCTCTACAGAGTATCCTTTTTTATAAATATCATTTTTTTAAATATGAGAAATGTCAAATTTATTGAATATTTACCGATGTATTATACGTGTTATGATGTTGAAACATAATTAAAGACGAATATTCATTAGTTTGGCCATTTTAAACGATAATGTATATACAAATATATACACCTCGAGAGATTCTAGTTATAACATGACCTTCTACTTACAATAATAAATAATGAGTATATATATCTCTTAAAATATCTTCAACTGTTTGATCCAGATATTTTACTGTTAGATTATATTATATCTTTTAAAGGAATTAAAGATACTCTATTGCAAATATTCGACATCGACAAAAATTGTAACAAAATTAATAGATACGTGACAACACTACCCATCATCTAAAAAAGCAATACTTATATTTTCAAAATAAAGCTAAATATATACTTATATTTATTTAATGAAAGCAAATGATTCATTACTCACCGTAGTAAGAAGCGTAGCGTCCACAATAAGTACCTTTGCAGAAAAAATATTTTTACGATGCATTAATTGCATGGCAAATAACTGTAACTGGAATTTAAAAAATGTTAAAAACACAATTGCAAGATGTAGTTATAACTTAATAATGTAATAAAATTTACGTTAATACCTATATGCGGAACATAATTAGTATTAACAAAATATGTATTAAATGTACGAATTATATTATAATTTTTTTACCTCATATTTTATTTCTCTATCGCTGGTACCGTTATACATGTCGTGAACGGTAGTATTGATCATCAAGGCTTGATTCTTGCCAGTTTCACAAGCCCAAACTATCAACAAAATTTTTACAATATTATATGTAAAAGTTGTAATGAAGATCTCGTTATAGACCTGTTTTGCCAGATTGTTTAAAGACGTTGCTCCCTCTTGTAATTGCACTAGGTAAAAGTACAGATTGAAAGTGATTTCAATGAATGTCAAAATTATCGTAGAAAGAAGTTGCAAACTGAAAATCGTTGTCAACATCTGTACTATGTCACTAACTGCTAGATGCTGTTTTATCTGAGCTTTGAGCTGCATCAGTAGGAACGGATTTCTTTGCTTGTAATAGGTTCTCAAAAGATATGGCTCATCATTTGTCATGAATATTTGCAAATGTGCCAGACTATCGTTGATTTGTTTGAAACAAGCTTTTAATATGCAAACACAATTCATGTATAACATATCCATTTGAAATACAAGCAAACAGATGTATATTAAGAAAATCTGGTACAAGGTATTATATGGCAAATTATAACAAAATATCGGCACTTGTACAATTATATAAAAGAATCCAAAAATGTCCTTGGCATGGATTAGTTTAGATAGATTCCGATATGATTCCTTTGACAAATTCAAAGAGACCACCAGTATGGTCTGAAGTAAACGCATTCGTGGCCCACTCAAAAGAAATGTAATAACTGTTGTAAAACCACTTAAAATGTAGAAACAGTTACGTTCAAGTTTAATGGGAATTCCTTTTAACATAAAGTTATTAGTAAAATTGAGGTCATAAAGATTTTTTAATTCGCAAACACAAAAAGTGCAGATAACAATAATCGATAGAATGTAGTATGGTTTACAAGGCTTAATGGTTGAAGCCCTGATCTTATATGGAAATACTCCCAGAATTCGGCAGAAAATGAAGCAAGGATACATCAGTGATTCAAAATTTGTAGCGCGGAATAGCGACCATATGTTTCCTTTTTTTTTGTCTTTGAATCTTTGGAACTTCGATGACGAATTAAACATGCCGAAATATTATAAGAGAACAATAATCTAAATTATTGGTTATAATTAAAAATATATTAATTATGTTATCAATGTACTGTTTAATAATAATGTTGACAAGAACGTCTTTCGAGTGTAATATTTTAATATCTTCACTGCAAATGTCGAAATCAACATAAACTTTTTATGAACAATCTACACTTTGCGAGTTAAACTTTAAAACTACTAACAATTATTGCATTATTATATATCGAAACAGGACTCAGAGTTTGTTAGTTATGAAGTAACCATGGTTGTTCTTTTATCATCTCCGTAACATATATAACAGTGACATATAATGTATAATGCATACGATGTATGCTAATAATAGTAATAATTAACTATGTAATCCATAATCTAGATCATGTATAAGACGAATGAACATTAGCGTGATATTTCTTAATCTTCCATTAGTCATATAGATAAATGCGAAGTTACAGTAAATATACATATATCATGCTGATATAAATTCCGAAAGGAAAGGAAAATTTTTACTTTAGATGAATTAATAGTTTATTTAATCAATATAATATATTTGAATAATGTTTTGTATAATACAGCTAATAAAAAATAATATGACTTAATTTAATACTTATTATACTAATTTTATATTGCATATTCAATGCAACATATATTCTGTTATGATTATTAATATGGAGGAAAAGCCGTAGCACACACACACGCGCGCGCGCGCGCGCGTGCACGAGTAAAAAAAAAATTTAAACTCTCAAAAGTATTTTTAAAATGTAAGATTTTGTCTTACTTTTTTTATATTATAATTGAAGAATTATATATATATAAATATAACTTAAAAACGCTTTGAGTATATTTAATAAATATTGATTGGTGTTTGTGAAAAAGATATATAAATATTTTGTGAAAAATAATCCAAACTGCTCTCGAGAATATTATCGATTATACACAAAAATAGATTTATTTAAGAAATAACAATGATGAAAGTTAAAAAGGAATTTCAGTTAACACAGTCTTAGCATAGTCACTGAATAATAATACATAACTACGACTAATAACTATAACTAAATATATAATAAAATAAAAAATCCAAATATATTTATATTCATCAATGAATAGATAGAATACATAATTCTCTCTTATGAAGGCAATATAAAATTATTTACTTAGATTTATAACTATTATGATTGTTTTTATTTATAGCTCATTTATACAGCTGTATAACTATAGCTGCTACAATTGTTAGGTTTATAGTTTATTTTAGCTATTACTTTCTACTCTTGTTTCTTTTAGTGAGGAACTTACTTACGACCCGAACACTCTTATTATTACAGAAAACGGTAAAATATTATATATGTCTAAAAGGTAAAATGATAGATTGAACAGATGACTACTTGTAGTAAGATGAAAAAACATGCATATAAACTTACTCCTGATCTTATATTATCTTATAATATATGTATCTTTTATATTATACAATACTTTTATATTAAACAATATTAAAGTATTTCTATAAATGATTAAAAAATTACTTTTGCAACACAAAAACTATTAATGACATATGCATTCCGTGACAATGGAGTTTAATCACTATCACTTAAATATGAAATATGAGCAATAAAATAATAATCATATAATACCAGTTAATCTAACTTTTGGATTATTCTAAACAGTCAACCCATAATATCCTGATCTTTCCTATGTGATATAAAACTTTTATTTCTATACATATACGTGTACATATACGAATATTTCTATAAGCATGAAACACAACTTTATTCAAAGTGATATTTTACTTATAATGATAAAAAATGAGTGTATTATTATTTAAAATATCTTTTGTATTTTCGATATGGAATATCTTTATATTAACTAGAATATAAAAAATTATATTTTTGCATTGCAAGAATTCGACATAAGTAAAAATTGTATTAGAATTAATAGATACGTAACAACACCACCTATCATCTAAAAAAACACAATCTTCAAATAAAGTTAAAATACCGATATTTATTAGACGAAAGTAAATGATAATGATCACTCACCGTAGTAAGAAATTTAGCGTTAATAGTAAATCCTTTTGCAGAGAATATATTTTTGCGATGCATTAATTGCAAGGAAAATAACTCTAACTGCAAATAAAAAAATTGTTAAATACAGAATTGAAAAACGTACTTATAAAATTAATAAGTAATATATTGAGAAAATGAACATTAATATAACGCGGAGCTAATAAAGAGCGAATGAAATACGCAAATTAAATTACTTTAAATTAATTTAAAATTTACCTCATATTCTATTTCCTTATCATTATTGCTATTAGATACATCGATAATAGTGGTGCTGATCTCCATAGCTTGATTCTTACTGGTTTCACAGGCCCATACAATTAGCATTATTTTTGTAATGTAAAATGTTACATTTGCAATTAAGGTATTGTAATAGATCTCTTTTTCCAGATTGTTTAAAGATTCAGTATTTTGTGCTCGCAATAAGCAGAAATACAGGTTGAAAGTGATAAAAATGAAAGTTTTAATTATCGTAAAAAGGAGTTGCAAAGTGAAGATCATATTCAGCATTTGTATTGTATCGCTGATTGCCATGTGCTGCTTTTTCAAAATTTTGAGTTCCATCAGTATAACTGTATTTCTCTCTTCGTTATTTATTTCTCTCAAAGTATATGGCTCACTGTTCACCATAAGTTCTCGCAGATTTACCAGACTGTCGTTGATTTGCTTAAAACAAGCTTTTATTACGCAAACACAATTTATGTATAGCATATCCATTTGTAACACCAACATTTCGATGTATACTAAGGTAATCTTGCCCAATATACTACCCTGTATTTTAAGATTATATATCGCTAGCATAATTATAAAAGAGAATCCAAAAATATCCTTGGCATGAATCAGTCTAGATAGATTCTGATATGACTTTTGAGGCAATTTCAAAGAGAGTTTCAATACAGTCTGAAGTAAGTGTCTTCGTGGTTCACTCAAAATGAATGTGATGACTATTATAGACCCACTCAAAATGTAAAAGCAGTTACGTTCAAGTAACCTGGAAATGCTTTTGAATTTAATTTTCTTATTAATATTAATGTCAAACACAATTATTGTATCGCAAATGCAAATAGCGCAGGTGATGATGGTCGATAGAATATAGTATAATTTGCAAGCTTTAATATTTAAAGCGTCAATCTTGTATGGAAATATTCCAAGAATGCGACTAAACATGAAGCAAGGATACATTAATGATTTAAAATTTGTAGCGTAAAATAGCAGCCATATTGTCCCTTTTCTTTTATTTATGAATCTTTGGAACTTTGATAACAAATTGAACATTATGAGTATTATAAAAGAATATTAATGTAAATCGTAGATTATCACAACAATTGTAATTACGTATATTATATTCTTTAGTAGCAATTTGTTTGAAAGAAGATATATTTTCAAAGTAATTTTTTGGTTTCTTCACGAATTAAATGCATAAACTAATATAAACTTCTCTGTACACTCGGCGAGTTTATTTTTGAAACTACTCACAACTATAGTATCGTATAGTGAAACAGTACTCAAAAACTTGTTGGGTCTCAAGTAACCATGGCTTTTTCTTATCATTTTCGGAATAAGCATAAAATAACGATATATATTTATCTATGTCAGGTAAATTACGATCTTGCGCATCTAGATATATAAAATAAATAAACATTATCAAGATACTTCGTAATCTTCCATTAGATTTATATACAGGTAAACGTAAAATTACAATAAATATATATTATATGTGTTGTTCTAAAGTAAAAGAAGGAGAAATTTTTACTTTAAATGAACATAAGCAATGAGCCTAAGCATAACATAAGCAATTTTTAATCAATATATTGTATTTGAAAAATTGTATGTTATATTACTCATGAAAAATCCGCATAAAATTTGATAAGACAATTAAGGAATTGCATTTTGTGTATACAATATTACTTGAATTCGTATATAATTTTCTTTCTGTTCACATGTCAACAAAAAATTCGTTTTTGTAATATCTTGTGTATATAGATTATGTTACTCTGGTTAAATTGAAAGAAGTTCACATACTTTTACACTTTTTATTATTTTATTTGCAATTAAGTAATTAAAATATGTGTAATTAGACGCTAAAATATACTACAAAAATGTTTCGATGCTTGAAAAAAAAATAATAAATGTTGACAATTGTACATTGGCATATTAGCATCGTCGTGTAATAACAAGCTATTGATTAAATAATTCCATAAATAATCGCCAGAATTCGGAATTTAATATCAATTTACAGAGATTAATAAGAATCATTTATAATAGCTCCGTAAGACCTCCTTCTGTTCCAAAATCTTTTAAAGTGATTTCTAAGAAATACCTACATTACGTGTATTATTTAAGTGCACCCTTAAAGAAATAAATAAAAGAAAATAAAACATATCAGCTGTTTGCAACTAATTAATATTTATATTTATGATATAAGATTTTCAAATCTTTCTGTACATATATGTATATACATGAATATATTCTTATGCAAAAATACTTTGAGAGATTCTAATTATAATATGATATTCTACTTACAATAATAAAAATAAATACATTTACTATTTAAATATATATTTGATCCAGATATCTTATTGTTTACTATATTATATCTTTTAAAGATATTCCATTACAAGCATTTGACACCAACAAGAATTGTATCAAAATTAGGTACATAAATAAGGTACATAAATAATACCATCCATTATTTATAATTAAAATAAAATCCTTAAATAAAAATATACATTTATTTAACGAAAGTTAATTTATCACTGTAATAAAAAGCGTAGCGTAAGTCCTTTTGCAGAGAATATATTTTCGCAGTGCATTAATTACAAAGAAAATAATTCTAACTATAGATCAAGAAATTATTAAATAATAAGATTAGAAGACTTTATAAATCTGACACATTAATATATTAAAAATTGTAGTATACGATATGAAATTTATTGAATGTGCGAATTAAATTTTAATTTTTTAAATTTACCTCTATATTTTATTACCTCTATATTTTATTTTCTTATCGTTAGTGCTGTTAAATATGTCATGAACTATAGAGATTTTCTTGGCTTGATTCTTGACTCTTGATTTCGCAAGCTCATATAATCAGCATTACTTTTGTAATGTAATATGTTACAGATAAAATGAAAATATTATAATATTTTTCTGAATTGCTTAAGGTCTCACAGTTTGTATTCGCACTAAGTACAGGCTGAAAATGAAGATTTCAATAAAGATTTTAGTAGAAATAAGTTGCAAACTGAAGATCATTTTGAACATTTGGATTGTATTGTTGATTGCCATATGCTGCTTTTTCAAAGTCTTGATCCATCAGTATAACTATATTTCTCTTTTCGTATTTCTCTTCGTCATTTATTTCCTTCAACGTATATGACTCACTATTCACTATCAGTTCTTGCAGACTGGCATTGATTTTAAAACAAACTTTTATTACGCAAACATAATTCATGTATAGCTATCTATTTGAAACATCAGCAATTTGTTATATACTAAAACAATCTTTCGCAAGGCACCACCCAGTGTTTTGGAATAATAAATCGACACACGTGATTACAAAAAGAAATCCAAAGATATCTATGGATTAGTCTAGATAGATTCTTATATAATTTCGGAGGAAATTTCAAAGAGAGTTCTAATATAATCTGAAATAAACGCACCCGTGATCCATTCATAATGAATGTAACGAATGTTATAAAACCATCCAAAATATAAAAGCAATTATATTCAAGTAATCTTTGAATGCTTTTGAATCCAATATTTTTATAAATATTAATTTTTATTTTTTTATTTTATTCATGGATCTTAGGAACTTCAATAACGAATTGAATGTATTCATAGAAAATTTTATAGACTATATATAGAAATTTTAATAATCTAAATCATAGAATATCATCAAAAAGATCTTATTATTTATGTTATCAATGCTCTTTAGTAGCAATTGTTTGTTTATAAGAATTTTTATTCCAAGTGTAACTTTTGATGTCTCCACTTGAATGGATAAACTAATATAAATTTCTTGCAGACTATGTATACGTGAATGGATAAACTAATATAAATTTCTTGCAGACTATGTATACGTACGAATTTAATTTTTATCTTTATATTTTGATAATTATTATAATATAACGAAACAGAACTTGTTAACCATCAAGTAACCATGATATTCTCTTATCATTTTCGGGACACGCACAAAATGATATATATATATATACGTACAACTGTGTCATGTAAACCACTTCTTGCGCATCTAGATCATGTACGAAGTAAATGGATATTATCAAGATATTTCTTAGTCTTATTAGATTCA